TCTAAAATGGTTTACTATCCCTTGTAAACGTTGTACTTACCTCAATATTGGTTGCCATCGTATGCCTACAACTACGGGTTGAAAACGAAACGAAGTCGATTTTCCCGCGCAACCTGGAGGACTACTGTTCAATTCAATAATTATACGACATGGGTCAGACAATGAGTGTATTTATATATATATATCAAATGTTTAGCTGTAAAAGCATTATTAACTTGTAGACAATCTACTATTTGTCATTATATCATACTTGATCGTGCCTGTAAAAATGGCATGCATTTTCATTTAAATTTGTGTTAATATGAAAATGCAATTTATTATTAATCTGATTCCATGAAAAACCACAAAGCCTAGATTTTCACTCCAGACTTCAACATACCTCCCTCGTAATAAGTGTAATAAGCAGCATGTCAGTCTTAAAAATCACAATGCATGGGTAACAAAGCATATTCCCAAAAATGTCATGCAGCATGTGAGTAAGAATACCCGTTACCGAACTAGTAGTAAGATGTCTAGCAACGCATATAACTTGGGAATGCAGCGTAGAATGGATCCTCGGAATATATGGAGCACTAAACGGGACTCATATAGGCACCATATTAATGAAAATTCTCGTCCAAACTCTCACACTATCTATGTTAAACCTCATAAACATAATGAGTATAGATCGACACTTGATCCCCTCAATAACTTCACTCGCATACGTGATGTGAGCCCATATGCATACGACTATGAAAGATCCATGAGGTACAACTAGCAAGGGTGCAGCAAACTACGACGCAAATAGCAAGGCAAACTACGTATCACCAGTAAATGAACGCAGATGCCCACCCATAGATGCTAAAAGTCGAAATATGCAACAGGATTGTTTTCGACTGCAGCAAACAAAAGCCCCACTTGCTGCACAATTCGTCCAGGTAATAGTACACACACTGACTCTGTCTTACCTCAGAGCCCCTCCAAACATAACGTAGGGATAGTAACAAGTGACCATGTTAACCTCTCCTCCAATAACTCTAGTTTACTAACGATTATGCTCCTGAATGCTAGATCTCTCCCTAATAAAATAACATCGCTTCGCTCCCTGGTATACACAGAACGGCCAACACTAATAATGGTGACTGAAACCTGGCTCACTACTGATATACCTGACTCAAAGCTAGTAACGGACAACTACGACATATTTAGGAACGATAGAGTTGACAAGAGAGGAGGCGGCTGCTTAATATATGCCTCTAAATCCACTAACTCCAATACTTTTAATAACCCAACTACTGACAAACTCCCTGAATCTAAGTGGATAAGCATCCACATAAACGAAAATAAAGTGCTCGTTGGATGTATATACAAAACCACTAATAGCCCTGAAATGACTGATATAACTGTTGGAAAAATACTAGAGCATGTAGCTACGCTGGACTCCGGAACTCAGGAACTTTGTGGGATATTGCAGAAACGTCTAAAAAGCAGTAAAGACAATACTGTAAGCAGCTTGGGATATAAGGGTATAATATACAGCGATCCTCAGGTTATAAGTGAACTCCTCAGTGAGTGGTTTTGCAATGACACCATAGTGAATCCGACCCCCAATTTCCAAATAACCTACAAAAGTAACCACAAATTAGGCGAAATAGACTTTAATATACAAAATATAGACTCAGAGATTAAGGCATTGATTGTGCCTGTAAAAAGTGGCATGCATTTTCATGTAAATTTATGTTTATATGAAAATATAAATTATTATTATTAATGGTAGTACTGGAACAGAAGACATACAATCTGTCACATACAAAAATGGTGGCACGGAAATAATAGTCTTGTTACTTAGAACATTTACTCTCTCACTGGAAAATGAAACTTATCCTGAAGTGTGGAAAACCACATACATATTACCTAAGCACAAAGCAGGGGCCAAAACCAGTGCATGCAACCATAGACCTATCGATATAACACCGGTAACATCACGAATAATGGAGAGAGTAGTTAAAGACCAAGTGTCAGACATGATCTGATAAGCACAGGATTTGACGTGCTGTGGAGTGTAAGTAAAGTCCATGGATTGTTATAAGAAGAGTCGAGGCATTATGTAACTGGCAAATTAATTCACAAATAAATGAATAAATAAATTTATTCTCATAGTACAGTACATGAGGGATGCCAGTTTACAGGCATCATCAAATTGTTACAGAAATAGAACCATATAATTCAATCACAATTTACAGGCACTAGCAAGACATGCTTTACATGTTCGCTGGAGATTACACATACACTTGATAAATGTTAATCCCAGTAGTATAAAACAGCCTTTTCACTTATATACAATCATTTCCGTGCACAGTTGGAAAAATCTGTTAGATTGTCAGTGAGTGCAACACAACAGGAAATACAGGAGTGTTGTCTTCGCATTAACAAAAAAACCAGGTCTTTGGTGGATGGATTATAAGTGCCTGGGAAAAAATAAAGCTTGAAGTCAATTTTCATACGTAACTTCGTTGTGTGCAGAATCCTTGAATTATAGTTCATTGATGTGTCATTTTGAAATCAGTGATATGTTTATCTCATTTGATCTGCAATGTCATTGTTGGGAGTAAATACATAAGCTTCAGACGCATTAATTAATGGATTTCTACTGCTTGTGGGTATTTTCTTAGCGTGAGGAAGGTTTATGAGTTTCAGCTGTTCCGACAGGATTTGAGAATAATAACTGCTCAGCAACATTATGGATATAAGTTCATCACATTATCTAAGGAAAGGTGGGTTGCAGTTGGTGAGGGATATACGGTGCCCAACGAGCGTACATCTGTCCATGTGATGTTGTGTTGAGTTATACCTTTTTCATGTTGTCGGTTTATGTCCATTTTATTCCACTTATTGTGTTGGGTAGTGGTTTTACAAACGAGATTTCTTGTCTGTTTGAGGATACGTATCGTAACCGTTAATGTTTTATCTAGAATTATAAATATAGGCAGAAAACAACAGGTTTAGTATTTAAGCTTATACATTAAATGGACCTATAATTTCGGAGGCTCTCAGATAGGAACTAGAACTACTATCGTTTGCAAACTCTTGTAGTTTGTCATTAAGCACCTTTTCGAAGGAGGCCAATGTACTTGCTTGACGCATTTCCATTGGTAGTTTATTTCATATCTGTGCATACCTAATCAAGTAAAACTTTTGCCTGGTGGCTGTTTTACATTGTTCGATAGCTACTGTACCCTTAGTGTGTCTTAGTTTGTAGCCATTGTCATCTGAAAGTCGAGTGCCATTATTAGTAGAGGTAAAAACTAAGTGGTTTAGAAGCTTATAGTAAAGTGTCAAGTTTAGTTTCAGGCGTCTTAGCCACAGTGTTTCTAGTCCTAGGGTATCACATCTAGTGGAGTAGTTCGCACCATTTTCGGTTTTTTAACGTGAAGTAACTCTGCACTCCCTCGACTTTCAATTTGTCCTCTATGCGTATACTACTATACACGAATGAACAGTAATCAAATAAAGATCGCACACAAACCTTGTACAACAGAATTCTGGACTCATTTCTGTAGAAGTTCCTGAGTAGAACGCAGATAAGTCTGCGTGACTTTGACACCTGTTTAGAGATATGTTCAGAAAATGATAAGTCATGTGAATATTTCAGTCCTAGTTCCAGTACAGATTCCAGTCATAGAAGTGCATGACCTTGAATTGTCGGGCCGAGTTCTAAACTGTTGCAACCTATGCGGAGCCAACCTACCCACCTACACTAAAGCATTCAAAGATACTCTTTATATTCTCAACTCCTGTTGGAACAGCTGAAATTCATAAACCTTCCTCACGCTAAGAAAATACCCACAAGCAGTAGAAATCCATTAATTAATGCGTCTGAAGCTTATGTATTTACTCCCAACAATGACATTGCAGATCAAATGAGATAAACATATCACTGATTTCAAAATGACACATCAATGAACTATAATTCAAGGATTCTGCACACAACGAAGTTACGTATGAAAATTGACTTCAAGCTTTATTTTTTCCCAGGCACTTATAATCCATCCACCAAAGACCTGGTTTTTTTGTTAATGCGAAGACAACACTCCTGTATTTCCTGTTGTGTTGCACTCACTGACAATCTAACAGATTTTTCCAACTGTGCACAGAAATGATTGTATATAAGTGAAAAGGCTGTTTTATACTACTGGGATTAACATTTATCAAGTGTATGTGTAATCTCCAGCGAACATGTAAAGCATATCTTGCTAGTGCCTGTAAATTGTGATTGAATTATATGGTTCTATTTCTGTAACAATTTGATGATGCCTGTAAACTGGCATCCCTCATGTACTGTACTATGAGAATAAATTTATTTATTTATATATATTATGAATAGGAGTGGGCCTAGTACACTTCCCTGGGTTACTGAGCTTATCGAGCCAACTTTCGTTGTGTGACTTCGACCACCGAGAAGTGATTTGTCCAGCTCAGGAGAGGGTCACATATCCCTAGTGAGCATAACCTGCTGACTAGCAGATTATGGGGAACTCTGTCGAATGCTTTTGTTATACCGAAATATAGCTCAATTACTAGTTCTCTGTTGTCCCTTCTTCGTCTAACTTCGTTGAAAAAGTCTATGTGAAGGTCACACATGATCTCTTTTTGAGAAATCCGTGTTGTGATGGATTGATAAATTCATGCTCTATGAGGCTTAAGAATGCAACTGCCATTTCGTTCACAAAGCCAACTCAGAATGAGAGAACAGTGCCACACTTTGTTTTCGAGACTTAGACCACATATCAGAGATTAATACTACCAAAACTAACTGGTACAAAAACCATACAGTGAAACCTCAGCTTCTTCATGACCGTCTGTTTAGAAAAATGAGCCTACGCACCATCGTAAATGAAAATATTGAGAGACTTGAGTATAGAATATCGAACAGTCTTGACATTAAGTGCAATAATTTGACTTGTTTAATGTGTCACCCTCTAGACTAAAAATATTGGAATTTTAAAAGCTACAACCTAAATCTGATAACTAATGTGCACAGAACTTAATTACTTTGATGCTGCCAATTTCCCCTAACCCTTATTGGACCCCTTTAATGTCTGTGACTTAGAAGATGAGGTAAACAAAACTAGTATTTATTTACGCGCTCCGGCATATTTGTGTAATCCCAACCATGGCACCGCAACTAGGTTATTGGAAAATAAAGGGCGTAAGTTTATTCTCTTCGTTTGCACTTCTGACAAACGTTTACTGCATGTTTATATATCAGCCGTTTTCCTTCATGAAACATTTTAAACACCTACTTGGGTAATAGTGACTGTAACGTGTTGTCGAAATATCTTTATATCATGTCTTGGAATCATTCCTGTTCCTGTTTGTTCTTAAGATAGTGTAGTGCAGTTAGCTCCTCGCATATTTGTTGGTGAGGCTTCCCGGTTGGAGGCGACTGCGAGTTGTCTTTGAAGTCAGTGTAAATAATTTATTCGTCTGATGCATTATAGTGCCAGACAAAACTTTATGAAGTTTGCGAAGCATGATAAGTTTTGTGATCTTAGGTCTTCAACAGTGCAGATTAGTGATCTGTCAGTCTGAGTTCATTTGTACTAAATCTCTTGCGGGATATTTCGACTACCAGCACCTAGTAGGGGCGGATCTCCTCGATTTGCTTACGTACACCTATCTGTTGCTGATACCGAGTTTTTTCAGTGACTAGGCTTGATACGGACTGTCAAATTATAGTTTGGTTTGATGAAGTTAAATGTAGTATGACGATACTGCTTATGCCATAGGGAGGTAATTTTACCATTGTAGGATTGTCACTCAGCATTGAGAAGACGAATGTTCTTCAAGATATGAATTTCCTTTTCAGAACCCCAGTCAAATTATCCCTACTTGTGGGAGTGGGTTGCGTACCAAAGTAGGCCACCGTACTAAACGTAACGCAGTTGAGTGGTGCAAGGGTTGGTAGGATTCCAAGCATAAAATATATTCACAAATACACTTAGCACATTACTATATCCTCTGGTCTATTGTCAATCAGAATTTCCACTAAAGGGAGCAGGTCGACCGATAACTGATTACTGATCACATTGCTTACTCCACAGATTTTGATCAGACTCTACCATTGACAAACAGCATGTACCATCTTGTGAATAGTCCTAGTAAACAATGACTTTCTGTCCAAACAGTTGACTTATTAACTGGAACTCAACTTTAATTTCCATTCTTGCATGCAAAACCATTAAATTACGTTTCATTTGTCGTTAAGCTCGTGCAATCAACCCGGCTTCTTTTGGAATACCTTGGCGATGAATACGAAGAACGTTTATATGGTCGCGATGACGGAGAGAAGTGGCAGAAAGATAAATTTAGTCTGGGTCTGGAATTTCCTAATGTAAGTTGTGAACTTTCGTAACAACCTATTTGTTGCAGCTTCCATATTATATTGACGGTGATGTTAAACTGACTCAATCTCAAGCTATCATACGCTACATAGCTGACAAGCACAACATGTGTAAGTTCAGAGTGTTCTTACATTTTCTCAGTGGGTAGTTCTCCGGAAGAACGTGCGCAAATATCGATGCTTGAAGGAGCCGTAATGGATATTAGATTTGGTGTTTCAAGAATTGCCTACAATAAAGAATATGTAAGTTGAATTTCGATGTAGTTTACTTCAAGGAAACTCTCAAAGTCGACTTTCTTAACAAACTTCCTGGAATGCTGAAGATGTTTGAGGATCGTTTGTCGAATAGAAATTATCTAAACGGAAGTTCTGTAAGTTTCTGGATCCCACTTATCTTTTGATTTTCCTGTAATCAGTTTCTCATTCTCTCACATTCTTTTTTTGAATAACTCACCTTTCGTGTTGTTGGTTTCGAATCTTGGAGTGATTATGCCCTCATTAGTAGATTTTTCTAAACCTATAGGAGGCACATAATATAAATATTTATGCATACATACATTCATATGTCTTCCTCAATCTGCCTTGTGACCGTGTCTATTTTTTTGCAGATAACTCATCCTGACTTTATGTTGTACGATGCTCTTGATGTGGTTTTATACATGGATAAGAGTTGCCTGGATAAGTTCCCAAGGCTAGTGGAGTTTAAAAAACGTATTGAGGTAAGTTTTTGATGCAAGTTTTCCATCAGTTTAAAAATTCCCATGTTTAGAATACATACAACAAGTCGAGCAAAGAAACAGATTTCTCTTCAGTTAGTTCCTCAGCAGTCGCTGCACACCAATATGTGGCTTTACCTTAAAATTTTACCAATCATATGGTGATGTTTGCCAGTACAAAATGTCAGTCTTGGAGTGTAAAATTTGTACGAGTTAGCAGCAAATTATTGTGTGGTCAGTGATTTGTAAAATAGTGATTACCCAGAAGAATAAGTGAATGAATGCCTAAGATTGCCAGGATACAAAAAAGTTAGTTGGATTAGCTAGGAAATTAGTAACAATAAAGTAAAATAACAATGGCAAGTGACAGCTACAAAGACAGGAGAAACATTTGTAAGACTCAACACGTATTGTGTGGATGGCCACTATAATTGATATTAGTGTGAAATTATGTACTAGCGTAGGACTGTTGATGAGGAACTAACTGGGAAGAAGTATGTTCCGTTCAATTTGCTCTTACTAAACATGTGTTTTGGCAAATTTTCACTGGTTTCCTTATTTTTATTTAGAATTTGCCCAAGATTAAAGCCTATATGGAGTCGGACAGATACATCAATTGGCCCCTTCAAGGTTGGTCGGCTACGTTTGGTGGCGGAGATGCCCCGCCGAAGTAGATGTGGTAAACTTCTTGAAGTTGCAAGTGAATACATTGTTAACTGATATTTCCCACTTGTGTAATACGCAGTATCGACAAGATTCTGTCACTATATTCATTTTTCTAATAAAATGTCACTAAATAAAATCTGCATACATTTGTAAAATTCTATTCTTTCTTCAAATAATATGTGATATTATATATATGCATGCAGTATTACCTAAATATCATGAGATGAACTACGAAATTACATGGAAAGAAACGAAACTTTAATGAGGGTAGGAAAGCGGACATAAGATCTTAAACTGTGTCCATTGTTTCGTCATAGTACGGGAAGGAAAGTTGTCATGATCCATAGCGCGCCTTTAGATGTTAGTCTAGGACAAGTATCTACAATACCACTCGATGATAAACCTGACTGTTCCCAACAGTCTGAAAACTGGTCATCGATAAGTAGTGCGGAAGCTTGTAGGAGAGTATTCTTCACATGTCAAAACTATTGTAAAAGGTCTCTGACTTGGCCGAACAACGTTCACGGGGTAGCGTCATTACGGCATGCAAACAATTATGTGAACTCAGTAATGAACGAAACTACGTAATCTCTGGCGGGACTTTGGCTTCTCCATTCTTTGTGGTTTCTCTAGGCTCGAAAACCTGAATTGCTTCACCCTTATGCAAAGTTTTGTGTTAACGATCCAGTCAACTATCGATGAATCTTACAATACTCTCCTTCAACTGTCAAATTGACGTTCTAATGGGGTTAGAGGATACTTAAACTGTCGTAGTCTGCTTGTGTGTCTTAAATGTGCAATTCAAATATTTTCCAACCACACACAATGACCGATGAAGTACTTCCAGTAGTTCGCTTTTGAAGGTCAGGTTAATTATAGCTTATGACACTAGTAGGAAGTGATTATATCGCATCCTACATGGAGTGATTTTGAAATCATAAGCTTTTCAGCCAGCCTCTAACATAACGTCGACAGCAATGTTGTCCAAAGGAATAGATGGCAATAGTCATATCAAGAAAGATAACTACTGTCACTGAGCGTTTATGTTTGACAGTGTTGTAATAGACGTGTGGAAGGTGAACATGGTTTGTGTATCTATAAAAAACTGGTTACAAAGAATTGTTCTTCATATCGTACAAAGTGTAGCAGAGACCACTAGTTTTTTTGATCTGGTGTCGCAGTTGGCCTGTTATGCATCAGGTAGTAGTCATTTCGAAACAATAGAATGTGGTTATTCTCTCATCATCCAGCACAACACTGAGCACTTAGATTTATGACCGCACATTGCTAACCACGAGTCCTATTTTCGCACATCGCATGATCTCTAGATTGTGTAATTGGGAAAAGTTAGTCCTGGAAATATGACTGCAGCTACAATGAAATGTGGGTAGAACGACTAGGCAGCCTGGTTTACTAACGTATAGGCTAGCTATGCATGAAGTACTAACAGTTTCACTATGAGAGACTCCAGATGGTAACTGATGTTGCTATCTAATCCTGTTTTCAATTCTTACCGTTTCCCGCTGTCACTTTCCACTTTGGTGTTGTAGGGAGTAATTTTTTTATTACAGCTTGATTCCACACTATTTTTGGTACAGGTATGGAATTTTCAGCGTGTGATATCGGTAGCCCAAATTTTGCAGGCCGACCATAGATTTCAGGTGTGAGTCGGCAGGGGATCGAATCCCGGACCATATGCATGGTCGGCGAGAGTCCTAACCACTGTGCCGCCGACGCATCCTACATTGGTAGTATTATTGTCACACAGTACAATTTATTTTTCGGCATATAGTAAACGTAATGAATTTCATGGGTTGTTGTACCGTTGTAATTTCTCTTAAGAAATGACCTAATTACGACGAAGCATTCATAGCAAGTATTTAAAAGTGAGTCATCATCATCGCCAAAGCATTGTAAATCCGACCTTCCAAAACCACATTGATGTCGTGATGGCGCTAGAGGTGGGTCATTTAGTATATGCCACCCTGGTTTTCACTATGAGGACAGAGATCTCACCTGTCACAATGCCAGCGCTCACACAACTACTTACTTACGAAAACTTATCCAGTACTTCTAATGGTTCACCTACTACGCTGAGTGCAGGTATAGACACTTGACAATCCTGCACTAAGCAATTACCATATTTAAAGACACTGACTGTCAACTGATTAAGTGTGCTTTCTGCAGACTGTATGTTACAACACAGTAAGACGATGTCATATGTATGCCCAAGGTGGGAAGTCTTTCTGCAGGCACAAGATGCACAACATTACTCACATCCTTCAGCACTGGCAAAGTTAGACATAAATGTAGAGATTGTAGCGGTAAATAACTCCCCGAAATTATTAGTCACAGCATTCACCCAGTGAACGTTGGATGCTGACCCTCACTGTTTTAATCGACTTGTTTCGCTGAAGGCTTCCGGTCAAGCATCCTTGCCATTTGGTACTCAGTCGTGTCACGTTTGTTCGTTTGTGCACGGTTCCCAGCTAGTTAAACAATCATCTCGCACTCCGATTTGGTCCCAAAATATAATTCGTAATTTGGACGATCAATTCTGGTGCTTTGCTTTGCCTTTGGTCTATGGGGAACGAATACTATAGAAGTTGTAGGTATTAGATCTTGCGTTAGTATACTTCGTACTATCCGTGAACTTCAATACCGTCAGTCTCTAAGAGATTGAGTAACCCTGTTAGAACTATCTCTTAGATGAGAATAAAGTTGATAGTTGGTTGTACGCTTTCACTTAAACTGGGGTGTTTCTGTATAAAGCTTTCAGAAGGTTAACAAACTTTGCGGAAACACCTCCCCTACAGAAAATCCCAGACGGCAGTCATGTCTAACAATTCTAATAACGTCTGAATATTAAGAAATACGATTTCGGTCCGTAACACGTATATTATTGTTCTGGCATCCGGTGAAGAGTGAACGCGTGATCAATACACCAGCTACATAGACAAAACTCAAACTTCTCTTCGTGAATAGGTTTCTCACATGTTTTACACACCCTGTAGAGGAAAATGGCAGCCAATACTATCTGACACCACTGGTAATTTACTAATACTACAATAGTTGTCACATGCGTTAAGTAGGCCCTCTTTAAGGATGGATAAGATAATAGTTTCACTCCATATTGATGGGACATTCTCACTTTCCCATACATTCTTAAACATTTCAGTTAGTTTCTTGATTAGAATCTCACCAGTGTCTCTAAAGAAATCTGGAAGTAAGTTATCGCATCCGGGCGCCTTATGGTACTTGAATACTTGGAGTTACTTTCGGATCCCCACTTCGTTGTTGGGTCGGTACTAACAGACAATGAAGCAGTGTGGTTGGTAAGGTTAGATGCTGGCACTTTTGTTAATCCAAACTGTTTCATAGTGACGTCCCCAGCGTTTTAATTATTATTATTATTATTATCTTACCTGGTGGACTGTAAAATAAACACTGCTACAGAAACTTCAAGCCACAGGCTTGAAGCCCTATGTTCTACTGTGGTACGTGAAGGAAAAAAAACCTGGTGGACTGTGACATCCAGCAGGATACCCCATTGGATTGACAGTCGACTTTAGAAACCTGCCAACCTATGAGCTGTCTAAATACTTAGCAGACATATTATGTTCCATTAGAAGTCGCTCAATTTCTAGACTAAATAATTTTTATGAAATGAAAGAGATATTCAAGCCGAAAAGCGTGTTTAATATTGATTTGACAAGATTATACACTGACATCCAGATAAATGCTGCTCTGGAAGCAGTCAGTAACGAGCTGGAAATCGATCTTGATCTGACTGATGGAATTAAGTTATTGGTTGATCAAATAATGTTAGTTCTTCAGCTATGACTTCTACAGTCTTTAAATTTGAAGATAAAATACACAAACAAACAAATGGAATGGTGATGGGATCACCAAAACCACCGTGAGAAGCTGATATATTTATGGATAGTTAGGAATGTAACGTTCTTGCGGCGTTTAATCTCACTCCTACAACATGATGGAAATTTGTGGAAGATGCATTCACAATGGTGAGATCTGAACACATCTCTAATTTCTCCATACACACATAAACTCATTAGTAGACGTAATCCAGTTAACCTTCGCGTCAGAAAAACTTCAGGGAGAATTAGATATGCTCGATGACAAAATTAAATATAAACTACATAGAAGTTCAGAAACTAGCATTTACAACAAACCATTACATTCTAATAGATACTTAGGCTTCGAGTCATCCCACTCTAAATCCGTAAATGTGAGTTCAATCAAATACTTATACAACTGAACCAGCAGTCTGACCAGTGAGTCAGAAAATGTAACTAAAGAAATCAGCAAAATATTTATACTGAATAATTATCCGCCTGAATTCATTCAAAAGCTTATTGAGATCAATAAGAAAAATAGAGGCAGTAACGTAAATAATATAAATAAAGATTTCAGAACCCCTATGGGGCTACCATTTAAGCAGAGAATATTATAGGCCCTACATAGGATTCTAAATAAGGATGGGATTAGAGTGACATTTCAACTAATCAACTTATCAAGAGATACAATTTGTTGATGCAGGGATCTAATGAACCCAATCAGGTGAGAAGATAAAAGTTTATGGGTAATTGTGAAGCCAGCTAGAAAAAATTTCAGATAACAGAATGAAGTTCCATGTTCCACTGAGAACCCAAAGGAATAATAATAATATGCCATGACAATGA